TGCAACCACCTTGTATTCTTGAACGTGCAATCGCCTCACACAGTATGAGGACCTTGATACCATTTCGCCTTTATCAAAATGCGACCACTGCTACTAGATTCGAACATGTGTTTTACGAGTCAGCAGCCATGAGCCTTCGCCAGTGGGCCACTGCGGTGGTTGTGCAGGTATAGTGGCGAAGTTGTTTGAAGCCTTCACGAGAAAGTGCAGAGCTGAACCCGTGTACTGACCATCGCTCTCATGCTATTTTTGATATGGCGCATTTATAGCCTCCGCAATTGCTAGCGCTAGACTTCTATAGCAACTTTCGCTGGCAACTCACTGCCTATAGCCAGTCCGTCTAGGACATCACAGCTATTGTTATAGGCAGCGCTGTACCTAAAGTACGAGCACTATTTGAGAAAGTCATTTAATCTAGACGCACAGTGTGCAAAGCGAAAAACATTCAAGATATTGTGTATGTCTCTTTATAATATAAAGTCAAGCTAGATAATCTGCGCAGCATGACTTCACATTTAGTACAAGAAGTTATACTGTTGACTCTCACTTAAGTGAACTTCAAGGAACCCAAACAAACTGTTCACTTAAAGGTGACCACTTTCCGAGTTACTATTTTTGAAAAAAAAGATACAATTTTTGAAAAAAAAATGATTTTTGATATTTCACATTTTCAAGCTCGCGGTTAATTCAAGAATACTTAGCGAAAAAATCACGTTGCTATCTTGAGGCGTTCTTGAGTTATGACTACATTTTCGACCCCTACTGGACGCATCCGACACCGAAACCGAACGTTTCCGTTTCTACAACACTGACCATCTCATCATAAACATTTTTGCATGCATATTACGTAAAGCAAAGTTGTATTTAAACGTTTCAAAGCCTGTAGTACTTGACATTTTCAATTTGCTTCAAAATTTCTACTACCCGGCTGCAGCACTCAATTGGTTAAGTTGGGTGCGTTTTCGTTCAGCAGTCAGTGTTGTTTTGTATGCCATTTCCAGTTCTTCGACATAGGTCTGGCTTTCTAGGAAAAAACTAAGGCACTTCATGAAACATGGCAGAGTATAGGAGAAAAAAAAGCGTAGACGCATGTTAGAAATTCATTACACCAAGCGTGAACCCATGCACTGTGGCGCACTGGGATGAGAGTCAGCTGGGGACACAAAACGAGTTCGGAAAAGTTATGTGTTTCGTCTAGCGCAAAAGAAACTTGTGCCACTTCAAAAGATGTCCCAAGCTATAAGCCTGGTGAATTTCAGGCATATTGAATGTTTTTTTCATACATGGGCACCCGGGTCAAATCTTTAAAGCCATTTTTCTCAAAACGTGCCCTTTTGCACCCTAATGTTACGCGAACAATCATATCTTTCCTTCTAACTAGTATTTTTTACAAAACCTTTTTTGCTACTTCTTTATCGACCGAACTGTGCATTCAACCAGGATTATTGAAAACAAGCGCCAGGCTTTTCGTACTATGGCCAACGGTGTGAGAAATAAACCAGCCAAATATAATATTTTACAGTATTTTTATGATAATGCACGCAACCTTAGATTTTATGATAATGCACGTAACCTCACATGATCATTGTGAAGGTTAGATGCACAAGATGTCCTCACTACGTCTGTAGTCCCGTATGAGCCACACCAATCTTTTTTTTTTCAGGTGTGACTATTGCCGCAACATGCATAGTTTGGCACGTTTTGATATTTATTAATTCATTATTTAGGCGCTTTTAGATATTTCATTGTCCTAAGTGTACAATTTACCTAAGCTTTACTGCAATTTAAACCATAAATATACCTTTAGAACAGAAACAGCAAATCTTTTTCTCGAAGGTCGTGACCTACTGTAACTGAAAGTTCACTAAACCGAGTATTCACTAAAATACCCCCTCCCGTCACGCATTATGGTGCGCTGTCAAAAACGCGTCGCATTCGCGTTGCATAATTTCAAGGCACTCAGTAGGTACATTCGAGCAGGGAAAATGAAAGGAAACGTTATTTTCTGGGAGTTTTTGGAAGTTAATGAGTGTGTAATTAACTAATTATCCTGCCAACACTCAGCCTCAGTACTTGATTAAAAAGAATCTACTGTCAAACCCGAAATGCATGCACACTTTGCTTTTTTGGTTGTATTTGTTTCGAGCGAAGAAAAAGAAACGCCAGGCCTTTCACTGAACGCGCAGCACAGTCACAGCGAAAGGTAGAAGAGCATCTTTTCAGAGCCTTTTCTTAAACATTCTTTGGGTAACTGCTACATGCACACTTGCTGGGTACCCACTACGCCTTAAATGATCATAATTTTTTGTGTAGTTGGTCAGCACTCAATATACTATACTTTGTCATCCTTCAGAGAAGCGTGGTGTCCGCTACACACTCGCGAGAAATTTCGTGCCAATTTGTCATGCCACGGCTGACGACGAAGAATTATCATTCTCCATCATGCCTATAAGCATGATGGAGAATGGGTATGCGCCAATATTAATAGGTGATCAAGTACAGCTTTTTGTAATAGTTTGGGGCATTAGACAACCCAATCCAATCGCTACGCAATTCGCAATGTCCGACCCCTAGTTGTTTCATTGATGTTCTAAAACGCTTTATTACTCATATTAACACGATTCTTTTCCCGACATCACGCCTGAAAAGGCCAGTTTAGAAACGTGTTCCAAGCACCGGTGTTGCTCGATGGTAGAATACTCAGCTGGCCCGCAGGCAGACACGTGTTCGAATCCCATTGTGTCGTTAGTGTTTTTATTTCGATAAGTTGTTTTTCTTATTTCTTGCGACACTGGTTACGGACACCGGCGGCAGCTGCGGCGGGCACTGCGGCGCCGAACGTGACTCGTGTTCTGATCTCATAACAGCTTTCGCTCTAAAATACTTTTCATGTTAGTCCTATAGAACGCGTCACGTCGAACAATCGTCGAACGTGGTAGTGTATTCAGCAAAGCGGTCCTCTGGAGCTATAAGCAGCATAGTGAAGTTAAGGGATAGCCATTTCTTCACTCAAGAGGCCTGAATGAATGTGCACACTAAGTTTCAACCCATTTGATGAAAACACGCGGTGCGTCATGTGTCATTGAAGTTATAGAGTACATTAGTACACACTGTGAGTGAAAGGGCTACGGAAAGACATCGAGCACAGTAGATGCCAAGTCAAAAGTCTGAAGCGCAATTCATTTTTAGAAAAATTCTGTAATTTTCATTTGGTCCTTGAAGGGCGAAAAGAGATAGAGCTGCGCAGATGGCACGTTTCTGTGCAAGGCATGCCTCTGGCATAGCTGGCTGCAGTAACACTAAGTCCGTAAACTTTTGAGATGTTCAACAGCCTCGGCTAGGGATACAGGATTGGAACGTGCATCAGTCACTATACATCGTCTTTGTCGCACTTTTCTTCTATCGATTCCGGGTAAACACCGCAAACGATTCCTAAATCTGACAGCTCTGCTTAGGTACTTAAGTGCACACGGCTCGTCTTCGTCTGCCGCACGGACGTTCTGCCTCGGTGGCGCTGCATGTCCACAACGAATGTTGCGCCGCTACCGATGGATCGGTGATTTTGGGGAGTCTCGCATCGTCTGTGCCAGTGCTACAGAGTGCAAAACTTCATTGAATTAATCGTTAAAATGAGCCCATGTTCGCAGATACTCAGCTACAACATTTCCTATTCAGAACATTGTTTAACTGAATGATTTTTACGCTGCATAGAAAACCACTGTAGATTTTCTAATAGTTCGTTATTCTGAAATATTTGTCCAGCCGACGTGCGTACAATTGAGAGTTCACTGCACTCTCATGTTACTGATGAATCAGAACAAATTGATCTTATCAAAAAGGTTAAAAGGCCTATCACCTGGCTCCAAAGTAAATTTTTGGCAATAAGTCGAATTTTTTATGTTGCCGTATATGGCGAAGCGCTTTAGCCGAAACAGTTTCAGGGCGATAGCTTAACATCCCCCGCATTGCAAACCCAAAAATGACTCGTCCCGTGATTTCGACTGCCAAGCTAAGCCACTGCCCAACACAGGTGAGAAAGCTTCAGTAAAACTATACGCATGGCACTAGTGATTAGGCCCAACCACCGCCAGAGGCACTAGCTGCAGCCACCTGCCGCGGTGGTCTTGTGGTTGCGGTGCTCGAGTGTTCAGCCGCGGGTCTTGGGATCGAATCCCGGCCGTGCCAGCCGCATTTTCAATGGAGACGAAAATGCCCCTCGTCCGTGTACTTAAATTTAGTACCCCTTGAAGAACCACAGGTTGTCTAAAATTTCGGAGCCTTATTTTGTAATTATACTGTGGTTTTGGGACACGAACCCCCAAAAGCTATCATTATTATCACCACCCTCAGCCGAGTTAAATTGTGCATACGCGCCTGCTGTGCCGATGGCGTCGAGCGACATCTGTGTGTTGTTTCACAATACAACATGTTGGTTTCCTCGTTGCTACGTGTAGTCGAAGCATGTTGACAGCTCGCCGCCCTTGATCAAACCAAGATGTGCGTTAAGCTTACATCTCAGAACACAGCTTCAAGGTCTTATACTCATACTCAAGCTCCACCGTGTTCCACTGCCTAGGCACTGCTGCTACAACGTTCTTGGTTCAAACTCCAGATAATGAGAATGCAGTTCAACGGAGTGAAATACGAAATAATTCAAAGACTTGGATTTTAGGACACTTTCAGAACGCATACGTGTCAAACGTGCAGGCCTGGTTTTCGGCAGTATACCCGCGGTTTATAGCTGTGCTTGAAGCGCACAGTATAGGCACCAACAAAGTCAGGCTAAGTGTCGAGCACGTAAACTTCGTTGTAGCGCTACAACAAAGTTTACAAAATGAAGCGCCACCAGCAAGCCCACGTATCCACTCTTATTATTGTACTTGGTTTACTAGCTGTTCTTGGCCTCACGTTCATGATTTGCGTGCACCTATTCAATACCCTTAAGTTGTTATTGCCAACTCCTCCGTTCGCCATTTTTTTTTTTTGCTCGTGCTTTAAAGATGCAGGTAGTGACAGCAACACTTGCTCGTACAAGCAACTCAAGCGATGCCACGAAAAACAGATCAACGACATCCGCAAGAAGATGACCATGATCCTTGCAAAGGGACTGCTTCCCGACGACGACTTCACCATGGCAATATGCAGGTAGGTCCAGTGGCGCAGCTAGGGGGTGGCGCACCGGACCCGCGCCCCACCCACCAACATCCCTGAAACCTTTTTTCGCCATAGCATACAGAGCAATAAATGACCATTTCAAGGAGGTACCCCCCACTCGAAAAACATTCCTGCCAGCGCCGCACCACGTTCGGTGTCACTATGCCTTCGCAGGGACCATGTGGCCGCTTGTGGATAAATATAAATTAGTGATACTGTCATTGATTTCGAACTCGTACTTCTAATGAAGAATAAATTTAAGGGCGGCCACGGCCACTGTGCTTTCTGGTAAAGATGCCCGGCACGTGAGATGGGTGCATGTATTGTGGCTTTATACGGGTATGCTTGCGATGCGTTGCGGAGAGTACTAGTGATTTCCGCAATTAGTAGGGTAGATTATGGTAGCTAACTGAAAAAGCGTTTGATAGTCTACCCAAAGCAAACGAATGTTTCTTTTAATTAGAGAGAGGATTCCCTGGATACACGCCCTTTGAGGCAGGAACTTTTCCCCCAAATACCGATGCATAGGTTTAAATGAGGTTGCAGATTGTTATTTGGTATCGCAATATTATTATAGCTTTAGCTCTTACCCAAACGCATGCACTCAGAAGGATAATTTTGAGCGTATAACCTGCGAGAACCAATATATGCCCTGCCGCGGTGGTCTAGTGGCTAAGGTACTCGGTTGCTGACCCGCAGGTCGTGGGATCGAATCCCGGCTGTGGCAGCTGCATTTCCGATGGAGGCGGAAATGTCGTAGGCCAGTGTGCTCACATTCAGGTGCACGTTAAAGAACCCCAGGTGGTCTAAATTTCCGGAATCCTCCACTACAGCGTCTCTCATTATCATATGGTGGTTTTGGGACGTTAAACCCCACAAATGAATCAATCAATCAAACCACGATATGATGAGGCAAGCTGTAGTCGAGGGCACCCGAAATTTTGATCACCATGTGGTTTTCAACGTGCACCTAAATTGCGAGAGCTTCTATCCCTTCGCGTTCATCGAAATGTCAACCCCACTACCAGTATTCAACTCTCTGAACGGTCGTTTCGTTTACAGTCGCGCGAGACGTAATATTTTTTTTTTTCGGGTATCATCTGCTATACACTCCAACTTTTGGCTTCTGTGCAACCGATATGCCTCCATATTTCTCCTAGGTCACGCCCAAAGAGTTTCAGCTGCAATGAAATGTACGCCAGGATCTTTGGGGGTCATAGTGGGCATTCGAATTTCGGGGCTCGTTACAGATTGTCTAATTAACATGAACTCGACGCCGCATGCTTCCGTAATAAAGGCGATAAGTGCGAGTGATCCTCAAGGTAAAGCTGCGAATGTAGCCATTCATTGTTCAAGTCGGTGATTCAAGTGAATGAAATTGTCCGCGCTGAATAAAACACGCGATATATGTGGAATATCAGTTAACAGAGCCTTATCAGTCTAAAACATTTCTGCAGGACGCGCTGATGACTGTTTTAACAAGCACGTGTTGGCAACATCATCTTGGATACAATACACAGAAGGCAGAAAAAAAACTGGCCTGCGCGGAACGTGCAACACAGTCGGAGCGAAAGCTAGAAGAGCGGCCTTTCAGAGTATTTTCTGAACACTCATTGGGTAACTGCTGCAAGCACACTTGCTGGATACCCACTACGGCATTAATAATAAAAAATTTTGGTAGTAGGCCGGCATTCGCTAGGCTATTTTTCGTCATTCTTCTGAGAAGCGTTGTGCCCGCTAAAGACTTGCAAGGAATTTTGTGCCAATTACTCATGCAGCGGCTGACGACGATGAGGAACTATGCCTGAAGTGGGTATGCGCCACAGTTGTTATGTGATGAAAAAGAAGCTTTTGTAATGGGTTAGAGCATTGTACAACCCACACATTACGCTTTTTGCATTGTGTGACGCCGCGTTGTTCTTTTTTGTTGTTTTAAAACGCAATATTACTCATTATAACGCGATTCTTTCCCCGACATCAAGCCTGGCTAAGGCAACTTTGCGAACAAGTCCCAAGCACCGGCATGGATCAGTGGTAGAATACTGGGCTGGCATGTAACGGACCCGGGTTGAGCCCACTGTGTCCTCGGTGCAAGGCTTTTTTTTTTTTCATTCGCGATTGTGGTTACGGACACAGGCGACGGGCAACTACGGTGCCACGCGTGACCCGAGTGTTGGTCTTATACCAGCTTTCGCTGTACAAAAAAAAATGTTTTATGACGTTTTATTGAAAGTGGTCCGAACGTATGTACAGTGCACTATCGAAGAGTGGAATGACTTTTGTGGGAAGAAGATAGAGCTGTCAGTAGGAAGACAAAACGAGAAATAAGATGGGGAAAGGGAGATAGGTTTCTGTTTTTTCAAAAAGACGCCATCGTGCGCTAACATCCTACGCCAACAACGTACGTATGCGAACGACGTATGCTATCGTATCTTGCGCTATCATGTATGCGCCATGCGCATAGCATGTTCTGGAAAATGTAGTTCCTGTGGTGACGAGCTTTCGCGTCAGTCTCAACGCTGAAAACACCCAATACGTTTTGCAGGCATGCATCGGTGTTTACCAACGCTGTTGCTCCACAACGTTACTAAGTACTGGAGGTCCGTCATAGTTTTTGAGCATGTAGGTTACCATATATTGCCACAGGCATGGAACGAGGTTTAGCCATGCCAATGCGAGTATGTGCCATGGTGCGGAAGAAGAAGAGGACGGTTGGTGGGTGCTCGTGCTCTAACGTTCGGTTCGGCTCGACGTCCAGTGCTGCTCCTGTGAACAGACGTTGTGGTCGTTCTGTGATCACGTGACATTTTCTGGTGGTAGATGTGACCTGGTTCACCACAGTGATAACATAGAGGCCGGTTGTCGGGAGCACGCCATACACTGGATTTCCGTGTAAGGGGTGGGTTGCCGTACTGCGGTGGTCCCGAGTAGAACGACGGTGCCGTCTTTTTTCTGGTGGAGGTGCGGGGTAGTGTTGTATGCACTGCAATCAGCAGCAAGGTCCCGACGCTAGCCGCGACTTGGAAGAACCAGCTGACCTACGGCGTAGCAGGCGACAACTAGGCCTACCTCCTGAATTCGGACCATTTCCTCAACTCGGCAGTACTATGGCTAGTGCGGGAACGCAAACCCAAGAAACATCAACGCTGCCTCCTCCATGGTTCTTCAACGTCCCGCGTACTCCGAAGCCGTTCCACGGTGACCCTTATGAGGACGTCGACGACTGGCTCGACGACTACAACCGTTGCGGCAGCGTCAACGAGTGGAACAAGCAGCGAAAGCTTCGGTACGTCTACTTTTATCTCGAGGACTCTGCGCGCACTTGGTTCGAAAACCATGAAGCCACTATGACAACCTGGCCAGAGTTTTGCAACCAGTTGCGAAATACCTTCCAAAGCTCTGACCGAAAGGAGCAAGCGGAACGGCTCCTCAATTCCCGAAACCAGCGTCCGAACGAGAGTGTTGACATGTTCATTGAGGACATGACGCGGCTGTTCAGGCGAGCCGACTCTTCAATGACGGAAGAAAAAAAGGTGCGCCTCCTAATGCGGGGAGTGAAGGAGCAGCTGTTCGCGGGACTAGTGCGGAACCCTCCCAGCACTGTAGAGGATTTCCTTCGCGAAGCCACGACAATGGAGAGAATGCTAAGGCAGCGTTCGTACCAGTATGAACGTCCTGGCAGTCTTTCGTCAGTGTCGTCGGCCCTACCAACACCTGACGTCATGACTGTAAAAGACCTGACGGAGCTCGTGCGCAGTATTGTGCGCGAGGAGCTGCAAAAGCTGCACGTGGTGTCTTCTCCGCCCCGCGTTGCTGCTTTAACGGATGTCGTTCGCGAAGAGGTCCGGCAGCTGGTGCACCCCATGACGACTCTGCGTGCAGCCGAAGTCCAACCCATGACGGCCCCGCGTCCAGCCGAAGCTCCGCTATTTACGTACGTGGAAGCACTGCGTACTCCTGCACCGGCTGTTGGCTATCCGTCCCGTCCGTCCACCCTGCAGACGGCACCGTCGTTCTACTCGGGACCACCGCAGTACGGCAACCCGCCCCTTACACGGAAATCCAGTGTATGGCGTGCTCCCGACAACCGGCCTCTATGTTATCACTGTGGTGAACCAGGTCACATCTACCGTGAGTGCACCTACAGGCACATGGGTCTTCCCGGCTTTCGTCCAGATGCTCGTCGACCCAGAGATGGTGAGCGGCCCCGTGCTATCGCCGAATACTTGGCAAGCCAACGATCCTCAACCCTTCCGCGTCGCCAATCCAGCTCACCATCTCCACGGCGTTCCACGTCACCTGGCCAACAATCAACCTTTGCGGACGTCCTTGCAGGAAGATCGCCTAGATCCACAAGCCCGCGCCGGGGAAACTAAGAACAGCGACCTCTGGAGGTGAGGCCGCTGTTGATCGACCGTTACAAGACCCTCCCCCGATTTGCCTGCCGACATCCGACGACATTCTTTCACCGACGTGTGCCATCGACGACAAACAGGTCTCTGCTCGTATCTCTGTTCTTGTCGACAACCACCCGCTAACCGCTCTGGTAGATACGGGTGCCGATTATTCTGTTATAAGCGCTGACCTCGCTGCACAGCTAAAAAAGGTAACGACACCTTGGGGACATGGAACCAAACTCCGGACTGCGGGAGGTCACCTATTGACACCGCTAGGAATGTGCACTGCCCGCCTCCGAATTCGTGAGTCGACGTACATTGTTTCCTTCATTATATTGCGCGAATGCTCCCAAAACCTTATTCTCAGAATGGATGTTCTCCGCGAGCATGGAGTCATTATTAACCTTCGCGACCTGCACATAACGTTATCTAACGACCATACAGCCCTACGAAAGGATGCAGTTGCGCCGACCACAACACTTCGAATTGCTGACGACACCATCGCACTGCCGCCGCGAGCCAGTATGTTGGTAACGGTGGAGAGCAACTGTGACAACAAGAGTAGTGGCATCGCGGAAACTAACCTCTCGGTGC